CAGGGGCGCATCCCATGGAGCAGATTCCATCGGGATCCCCGGGTGTCCGGACAGGCGCATCCAGCCGGGGCTGCGTTCCCATGGCAACGCCGCCGGATGCGGGGAAATGAAATAACTGGGAAAGGGGAGGGGGGATCGGATGGGAGAGAGGAGGGGAAGCCGTGGGGTGCTGAGGGGCCCTGGCACACCCCAAGTGTCCCCAGTGCCACATTCCGGGCACCAGGGATGCTCCAGCCACGCCTTGGGAGCTCCCACCTGGGGGGTTCAAAGGGGCCCCAAAACCTGCAGGTCCACCAGGGACTGTCCCAGCTGGGCAAGGACCCGATTTGTGTCTCTTTCACCCCAGTTTCTGCCCCTGCATCGGGGCCTCTTCCCAGCTGGGGCCGCATCCTGCTCATCCCCACCCGGTGCTGGAGAGGGATCGGCGCCTTTCATTTCTTTCCGTCTGTGATTTTATGAAGGTTTTTGGAGATGGAAGTAGGTCAGGAACTTGTTTCCAAGTCATTAAATGAAGTCCCTGGGTTCACAGCGGGGTTTGCACCTCCCTAATAACCAACCGTGCTCTCCTCTCATTTAAATCGCGGTCGATTCGGGGTGGAGCAGCTTCCACAGCTCCTGGGGCTCCTCATGGGCAAGGGAAGGTGTTGGCAGAGCCAAAATGCCCTAAACTGCCTCAAATTGAGGGGCTGGGGGAGGGGTGAGCCTGCTAGGGAGTCGGGGTGGGGATGGGGGGTCCTGGAGCACCTTTGGGGTGGGACTGGGCTGGAGCTCCAGGGATGCTCCTTCAGCCCCGGGGAGCACAGAGCTCAGCCCGGGGTGCAGATGCTGCTGCGGGGCTGAGGAGCAGCAGGGAGCCAGGAGCAGCATCCTTCCTGTGCCAGGACCCTGCCCAGCGCCAGCTCCAGGTCCTGACTGCTCCAGGAAAGAGAGAGATGGGAAAGGGGAGAGCTCAGAGCCCTGGCAGGGCCTGAAGGGGCTCCAGGAGAGCTGCAGAGGGACTGGGGACAAGGATGGAGGGACAGGACACAGGCAATGGCTGCCACTGCCAGAGGGCAGCCATGGATGGGATCTTGGGGATTGGGAATTGTTCCCTGGCAGGGTGGGGAGGGGCTGGGCTGGAATTGCCAGAGCAGCTGTGGCTGCCCCTGGATCCCTGGCAGTGGCCAAGGCCAGGCTGGACATTGGGGCTGGGAGCACCTGGGACAGGGGGAGGTGTCCCTGCCGTGGGAATGGGTTGGGATTCAAGGTCATTTAAGGTCCTTTCCAACCCAAACCATTCTGGGATTCTCTGGTTCCAGGAGGAGCTGCTGGGCAGGAAAGTTCCTGCTTTCCAAGGGTGCTGGGTCTGGGGTGTTCACCCAGCACTCCCCCCTCGCAGTCGGATTTCCAAGCTCAGTTTCTGAGCTGTGGTGGGGAAGGGGCTCCCTGGTGTCCGTGCCATGCTCCCGGCACAGCCAGAGCAGGATCGAGCTCTCCCACCCTCCTTGTGGGGATTAAGGACTGGGAAAGCTTGGAACGATGGGATGGGTTTGAAAGAAGGTGAGGGCGCCAAAACCGACGGCTGATTCAGGGACAGAGGAACTCCTTCCCTCTTAAATTTGGTGCCAGCACGCTGGAAAAATCCCATTTTCCTCCACCTCTCCCTCCCTGGTGCCATCTCCCTGAGCCCCGGCTGACTTGTGTCCCCACGGCTGTCCCCTCCTGGCACTGCCCTCCCCACGGCTGTCCCCTCCTGGCACTGCCCTCCCCACGGCTGTCCCCTCGGGGCACTGCCCTCCCCACGGCTGTCCCCTCGGGGCACTGCCCTCCCCTCACTGATGGGGCTCGGCCCGTCCCGCTCCCATTTCCCGGTGCAAACAAATCCCTTTCAGGCTGGGATGAGCGGGACCAGCGCCCGCCCCCAGCTGATTGCCGTGATTTGCTGCAGAGATCGATGAACTCGTGAGTGTTTCATTAAGAGGGAGCCCTAAAACTCGTTGCATTGATCAGCCGCAGGTTTATCTTAATTAGCAGTGGGACGGCGTTTGCTGGGGCTGGGAGGGGAGCGGTGTGTGGATGGGGCTGGGGGTGCTGGGAGCAGCGGGAATTCCCATTCCAGGGGCAGAGAGGATGCTCTGAGCCCACGGAACAGTTTTGGCTCTGTTGGATGCTGCTGGGAAGTTGCTTGGGATGACGCTGAGCCCCGGAGCCAGGGCTGCTGTCCCTGAGGGGCTGGGCGTCCCGGAGGTCCCTCCCAGGGACATTTTACCCCCACAGGATCGGGGCGACGCTCCGGGGGCTGGAGCAGCCCGAGGAGCAGCAATTCCCTAGGCAGGGGCACCAAACCTGGACTCTCCTCTGGAGGCTGTGCCTCAGTTTCCCCACTCATGACACACGTGGGGCTGCCCTTGGGATGCCCTTGGGTGCCCTTGGCGGGCACTGAGAGCCAGGGAGCTGCAGCCACGCTCCCTTTGTGAGTCTCTGTTTGTCCCTTAACCTTAACCTGCATCCCACGAGGATGGAAAATCCGAGATCTGCTCTTCCCACAGAGGAAAAGAGCTGGAATAGCACCCAGGGAGCAGGACTGCACCTGCTGGGGCGGCTCAGCAGAGCTTTGTGATGCAGTTGGCAGCCCCTAATTAGCTCATCCATGGGGAAGGGGGGGTGTTTATCCCAAATCCTGCCTCTTTGGGATGGAGAAGGATTTGCTTCAAGCAGGGTCTTCCCAGCTCCTCCTCTTTCAGGCTGGAATTAAGGAGCCACACGGGTGTGATCCCTTCACTCCACTCAGGGATCCCTCAGAGGCTCTCCCCAGCCCCATCCCTCGGCTGGGAGCATCCCTGGCGCCCAGAGCTGCCATCCCTCAGCTGGGAGCATCCCTGGCGCCCAGAGCTGCCATCCCTCGGCTGGGAGCATCCCTGGCACCCAGAGCTGCCATCCAGCTCCTGTTAAGCAGCTCCACTGACAGCCCCAGACGGATGGGGGGCCATAAACCCCGAGCAGTGTGCTCCCTGTATCATTTATTATTTACATTCCTCAACTGAGGAGATTTACAGCCCGGCTGTGAGCATTTCCAGGGGCTGTTTCCTCAGAGAGCTGAACGAGCAGGGAAGTGAATTCAGTGTCAGTGCAAACAGCCTTGTCCCAGCCCCACAGACCTGCTCCAAGGGTTTGCGTTGCCTTTAATTAAAATCAGGGTCCTGCTGGCACTGATCCAGCAGAGCCTACCCCAGGGGTAGGGTAGGGGGTGGGATATCACAGCCCTAGAGTGGAGCTGGGCTGGAATCTGTGGGAATTAGAGCCCTCACAAAGGAAAGTCAATGAGTATTTGGAGTTTGGTGTATGGGGAAACTGAGGCACGGCTGGTGGGTGAACATCCTGTGGAAAAACTCAGGCAAGCCCTTTGCCCACCTCGTTAATTCTCCCCTGTAATCAGGGCTCACTATCCCAGCCTGGGATGGTGCCTGGGACCCCATGGGTTCTCCCCTAACTCCAGATCCCTTTGGGAGCTGCTGGGGAATGGAGGGGGGATGCAAACCCCTTTTTCCTGTCATTTTCAGGATGAACTTCCCCTTTTTCAGGCAGAAAATTGGGGAATGGTGCTGTGAGGAGAACAGGGGGCCCTGAAGCTCTCAGGGTGAATCTGGGGCACCTCAAAGAGTGGTGGGACAGGGCTGAGTAAGACAAATGGAAAAAATTTGAGTTTTCCAGGCTGTTGCTGACCTGTCCTTGCACCTTGTGATGTGCCAGCACCCTCAAGTTCCCTAAAAATCTCTTAAAAGTTCTTTAAAAAAACATGACCTCATCCAGAATTCCCATTTTTTGAATTAAACCCATCACTGAACGTTCCAGCACTCCCACCTCGCATTGCTCACCCTTTCCTTGGAGCTAATCCTGTGATTAGGAGCAGTGGAGCCATAAATAAGTGCTGGGATCAGGGTGGATCCCCTCAGCTGCCAGCCCTGCTGGGGGATTTACCCACCTGCAGCACGGCCTTGTTTGTGGATCAGAGATGGAAACAGCCATCAGAGCCCCATGGATCTACTGATGATGGGCTGGAAATCAAAACACGGGAGCTGGAGGCTTTTCCCACCGTAAATCATCCTCTGGGATGAGTTTTCAGCAGCGCCCGAGCTCTGAGTGCTGGGGCAGTGAGGCACAGATGGTGCTGCGGGTTCACATCTCCTTGGGTTCCCCTTTTAGCTCCAAATATCCCCAATAACCCCAGTCCTGCTGGTCAAGGCACCACACGGACATCCCAGCCTACTGCAGCCCATTATCCCTGGAATTCCCAGTGGTTCTGTCTTGGTTTGAACAGCCAGGTGTCTGCTGAGGAAGGCAAGATCCTCCCCTGAAATGGAAAATGCAAACCCCCTCCCTCTGAATTGCTATACATTTTAAATTAAGGGGCTCTCAGGCAAAAAAAAATATGGGAGCAGGAATAACAGTTCTTTATTGGGGAAGAAAATAAAAAGATAAAATAAACAATGCAGTGAACCAAACCAGCACTGCCAGTCAGACACAGCCTGACACCCTGTGGGTCAGGGTGCTGGCACAGTCCCATTGGAATTGTGGCTCAGCCCTCCTGCAGTGCCAGGGGTGGTTCTGCTGGAGCAGGATCCTGGACAAGGGGGGAGTCTTCCTCTGCAGCTCCAGGGGAAGGGGCAGCTGCTGTTCCTCTGGGAATCCAGTGCAGAAGCCGTGCTGGTGCTGCAGAATCTCAGATTGTATCCAGGCAGGAATGCTTGGCTCCTCCCCTGGGCTCACATCTCCCATGGATGCTGCAGTTCTTATCAGCCCTGCAGGGACATTGCACAGCCTGTTATCAGCAGATGTCCCTGGAGGGAGGAGTGGCTATGGAAGAGATGAGGAAAACTGCACAGTGAACAGAGACAATGCCATGCAGATGGGAAATGGAACACAACTGGCTTGGCAATCTGGGACAGATTCCCAGCTGCTCCTTGCCCTCAGCACCCGGGGGTGCCCGGCCCTGATCCCTGCCCCTCCCCGCTCTGTTGCAGGTGGCGGCGCTGGAGAGGCAGATCTTTGATTTCCTGGGATACCAGTGGGCCCCCATCCTGGCGAACTTCCTGCACATCATGGCTGTGATTTTGGGTATTTTTGGGACCATCCAGTACAGATCCAGATACCTCATGATGGTAGGTACCACCCTGGGGGTGCAGCAGGCTCAGCCCCAGGCCCCTCCTGTCCCCCTGGGGACAGAGCAGCTCTGGCTGCTCCATCCCTGCACGTGCCCAAGGCCAGGCTGGACAGGGCTTGGAGTGGGATTTGGGAGGTGTCCCTGCCATGGCAGGGGTGGGAATTAGAGCCCTCACATGGGAAATTCAGTGAGTGTTTGGAGTTTGATGCATGGGGAAACTGAGGCACAGCTGGTGGATGTACTTCCTCGGGAACAACTCAGGCAAGCACCTTCCCCACCTCATTAATTCTCCCCTGCAATTAGGGCTCACTAACGCAGGCTGGGATGATGCCTGGTGCCCGCATGGGTTCTGCCCTGATCGATGAACTTTAAGGTCCCTTCCGCCCCAAACCGGGCTGTGATTTTGATTCTACGATCCCAGCCCGGACCCCCGGGACGCGGCGGGGCTGGAGGGGCTGGAGCGGGACCGGAGGGGGTGCCCGTGCCCTGACCCCTCTCCTCCCGCAGTACGCGGTGTGGTTGGTGCTGTGGGTCGGCTGGAACGCCTTCATCATCTGCTTCTACCTGGAGGTCGGGCGCCTGTCGCAGGTAACGCTCCCGCCTTCCTCCTCTTCCTCCCTGCATCCTTCCCTCCATCCTTCCCTCCGTCCTGCCCGCCCTTGCGCTCCTCATCCTCCTCCCCTTCCTTCTCCCCCAAAAATGCCCCCCAGGGCCCGGGGGATGCCGGGGCTGCCTCCCCGGAGCACGGAATTCCCGTGGGATGGGATGGACAAACCGACAGTGGAGAGAGCGGCCGCCTCCCAACCCGAACTGGATTTCCTTTATCTCCACTGAGGGGATAAAGGAGAGGCGGAGCACCGGGAAGGGGATGAGCAGGACAGGAAAGCTCGGGGCAGGGTCTCTGGCAGAGATGGGGAGGGCAGTGGGGGGGAGGAGGAGACCCCCCTGCTGTGTATTCCCAGTTTTCCCGGGATTTCTGGAGCTCACCGGGATCAACATTCCCGGCTTTGGGAGGTCACCGTGCGGCCATGGGGTGAGGATGCGATGGGGCTGTGCCTCCACCACACCCTGGCTGTTAAATGACAGCTTTTACACCAAAAAGAGCAAAACTTCCCGCGGGGATGGGGCAGCACCGGGGGCTCTGAGGGTCCCTGTGCGTCCCTCCCCGGCTCTGGGGGCATCACGGAGGGCTGGGGACAGCCAGCTCCGCTCTCTCCGTGCTGCCCCAGGCAGGGCAAAGCCTTGGGGCTGTTCCATGGCTGGGAACGTCCCCCCGAGCTGCTCCAGGTCATTTGAGGCTCTCCCGGAGCGCTGGGTGCGCAGCAGGATGGGGAGAGGGGGAGGATTCCCTCCCACCGCGGGTTTTTGTGGAAATCCCCGGTGCCCATCACAGCTCCCCTGTCCCTGTGCCTCAGCCACATCCTCCAGCTCCACAAACCCAAACCCACTCGCTCCCGTTCGGGGTTTCTGCCGCCCCCAGCAGCAACAATCTTTTCATCCCCGATCGGTGATTTCCTGCGGGGGAGGCTCAGCCCCAGCACAGCCGGGGGGCACAGAGGGGCTGGGGGGGCTCTCCGGGGGGTGGGGGCTCCCCAGGGGTACCAGGGGGACCCTCATGGGGTGGAAGGGGCAGCCAGGGGCTGCTGCCTGTCCAAGGCCACCCCACAGCTCCTGGAGAGGACCTGGCCAGAGCCCCAAAGCTTGTGGGGGGCTGGCAAGGGGGGGACATGTTCCAAGGGGACCCTGCAGGTCTCCCTGGGAGTGGGATGAGGGCACGGCAGCCCAATAGCCCAGGGGAAGCAGCAGGGGCTGCCCTGCATCCCTGGAACACGCTGGTGGGGTGCTGCCATGCTCCCATCCTCGGGATGGCAGGAGGCACCATCACAAACACCTTCCCTGCCGCTCTGGTGCCTGCTCTGTGACACCCACCCTGTCACCTGGGCATCACCTGGATGTCCACAGTGCCAGCTCGGGAGGAAACCCCAAAGCCCGGGGCTGGGGCTCAGGGAGGTGCCCTGCTCTGACCTCAGGGAACATCCTTGCCTTGGAAAACCCATTTTCTGTGCAACCCTCCTGCAAAGAGCCTCGGACCCACCATCCTCCTCCTCCTCTTCCTCCTGCAGGACCGAGACTTCATCATGACCTTCAACACCTCGCTGCACCGCTCGTGGTGGATGGAGAACGGCCCGGGCTGCCTGGTGACGCCGGTGCTCAACTCCAAGCTGGCTCCCGAGGATCACCACGTCATCACCGTCAGCGGCTGCCTGCTCGACTACCAGTACATCGAGGTGGTGAGCAGCGCCACGCAGATCTTCCTGGCGGTAAGGGGGCCCCTCCTCACCCTCCATCCCAAACCGGGAGTGGGACAGGCAGGGTGGTGGGGCTGGGGTCAGCAGAGGGCCATGGAGCAGACAGAGCCCTGCCAGCGCCCCAGGGGTGTGTCCCACCCCAAAACTTGTCGGGTCGAGGGCTGGATGCTGCAGGGATGGAGGATCCACTCCCTGGGAATGAGCAGCTGGAATGTGCTGCCCGCTGGGAGGGAGGGTCCGCCCTCGGCGGTGACTCTCACTCCCTATGGGGAGGTGACAGTGGGGCACACCTGGAGGCAGAGCTCCCTAGAATGGAGCTTTAAGGGGAATTGGGGTCCCCAAAGGGGCTCCCAGCACTGTGTGGGGCTCAGCACCCTCTGTGTGGTGCCAGCTCCAGCCTCCTTAGAGCCCCCCTTGTGCAGCTGAATCCACCCAACCCTGCTGCACCCCAAACTGTACTGGGATGGGCTCTGGCTGCTCCCAGTGCCCGTTCACCCCCAGGGCCCCCTGGTCACCCCCAGGGCCCCCAGATCACTCCCAGTGTGCCCGGTTCTCTCCCAGGCCTCCAGCTCACTGCCAGTCTCCCCCCCAGGTCACTCCCAGGCCCCCAGCCGTGCCCCCGCTGGCACCGTGCCCGTTGTGCTGCCCATGACCCCATAACCAGCCTCTCCCTGCCCTGTTTTTCCCCAGCTCTTCGGCTTTGTCTACGCCTGCTACGTCAGCAAAGTGTTCCTGGAGGAGGAGGACAGCTGTAAGTGCCTTGGCTGGGGGGACAGGGGCACAGTGTCTTTGGCTGGTGCCACCCTGAGCAGGGTGGCAGCTCCCAGTGGGGTCTGGGGAAGCAATGCCCAGGTTCCAGGCAGCTGAGGAAATCCCTTTAGTTGGGTTTTTGCCTCATTTTCCCATCCCTGGTGAGGCAGAGGTGCTGGGGCCGCTGTCACCTCCCTCCCCCTGTGACAGCCACAGCAACTTGGGGATGCTGTGTCCCCTGGGCTGTGTCCCCACTGCCAGGTTTTCACCCCAAACCAGGGGGAAAACAGCGTTTTAGGCAAAGTGAAGGCTAACTTTATCCAATCTGGACTGCTCCTCCTGATCCCACCCGATCCCTGCAAACCCCCCTGGGAAGCGCCCCGGCCCCACTGAACCAGGTGGTCGAGGCTGTGGCTGTCCAAGTGCATTAAAAGCTCATCTGCCATTAATTAATTCCCACCAGCTGGCAGATCCCAGCAGGGCTGGGCCACAGGTGTGCTCCTTCCCCAGGATCAGCACTGGGACCAGCACTGGGACCAGCACTGGGACCAGCACCCCGCACTCCACGGACCCACAGGTGGTCCCAGCCCAGCCCGGGGCTGCAGCACCCCCGTGTTTTCCCTCCTTTTCCATGGAAATAAAACATCTCCGTGGGGAATTGGCCGCTGCCTGGGGGAGCAGCTCCTTTCCAAAGGGTTTATCCAGCGCTGGCGGCTCTGGAGCACATTTGCACTCCCACAAACTCCCGCATCCAACACAATTTTAATATTAATGCTGCCTCAGCCCGGCATGCAAATGCATCTTTTTAATGGAATATCTTATTAGATTTGGAAATGGATGGATAGCGTCAAAATCGAGAGCTGGCAGAATGTTGAGTCGGGAAGGGAAATATTCTGGGAGAGGGGGGCTCTGCCCTGGAGCTCTCAGCCCTGACACCCAGGGACAGCCCACCCCAGTGTGGCATTTGGGGACTTGGGTGGTGCTGGGGATCCTGCAATGTTGGAATTCCCAGCCTGGCTGCACCTGGAGTCCATCCCTGTGCTGGCTGTGCCAGGGAGAGGGGTCAGGTATGGGGAAACACGGGGTGATCTGGGAGAAGCTGGGGCATGTCCACCCACCCAGGGCACCCCCAGGGCACCCCCAGGGTACCCGCAGCCCCCCAGAGCTGCCCCGGCACTGCTCAGGATGAGGGGCTGGGCTCTGATCCCCCCGGGAACGGGCTGGGAGCGGGATGAGGCTCCAGGCTGGAACCCCAGCAGTGAAAGCTGATGTATCATGCCTGCAATCCCCCGGGGTGACAGCCCCAAAGAGCGCCAGTTCCCCCATACCTCTCCCGAAGTGCCCACGCCGCGGGCAGCGGGGGAATCTCTCAGTCCAGCGGGGCTGTGCCGGACGAGAAGGGAACAGAGCCGCGGCCACCGCGGCAGCTGCTCCGGATCCTTCCCCCCGGCGTTCTCCCGGGATGCTGCCACCATCCCGGCCGCTGTTCCCTGGGGTGAAGGCCTGGCCGGGGGTGCCCCTGTGCCTCCCTGGATGCTCCATTCCAGGCTGCCCAGAGCGCTCTCCTTCCCTGGGGGAATCCAAAGCTGCCTGGACAGAATTCCAAGTGACCCTGCCTGAGCAGGGGGTTGGGCTGGGTGACATCAGCGGTCCCTTCTGATCTGATCCAGTTTGTGGTTCTGATTTATTCCCTTGGGAATGCAGCACCGGGATTCCTCGGGATGCTGTGGTGGCTCAGGATCACCGATTCACGGGATGGTTTGGATTGGGAAAAGAGCTTAAATCCCACCCCTGCCATGGCAGGGACACCTCCCACTGTCCCAGGTGCTCCCAGCCCCAGTGTCCAGCCTGGCCTTGGGCACTGCCAGGGATCCAGGGGCAGCCACAGCTGCTGTGGGAATTCCAGCCCAGCCCCTCCCCACCCTGCCAGGGAACAATTCCCAATTCCCAAGATCCCATCCATGGCTGCCCTCTGGCAGTGGCAGCCATTGCCTGTGTCCTGTCCCTCCATCCTTGTCCCCAGTCCCTCTGCAGCTCTCCTGGAGCCCCTTCAGGCCCTGGAGGGGCTCTGAGCACTTCCCAGTTGCGCCCTGGGCAGTGGCGTTTCCCTGGGGTGTCACATTCCGCTGGCTGCAGCTGCAGCCCGGGATGATCCCCACCCCACGGGGATGTCTCTGCTCCCTTCCCGGCTCACCCCGCTGCTCTCCCGGCTCTCCCCAGTTGATTTCATCGGCGGCTTTGACTCCTACGGGTACCAGGCACCCCAGAAGACGTCGCACCTGCAGCTACAGCCGCTCTACACGTGAGTCCGGGCTGCTCAGTGCCAGGATCCTCAGTGTGCCCACGGCGCTGTCACAGCTCACTTTGGGGGCTGTGCATCCCCCCAAAACCCCGAGGCTGCCCCGGCGGGGCTGGGCGCTCCGGGAGGATGCCGCTCTCGGTTTGTGTGCGCTGTTTTGTTCTCTGAGCTGCCCCCGCCGGCCCGGGGAGCAGCGGCTCTCCAGATAAGCGCAGCCGACTCCTCCTCGCTCTCCCTTCCCCGCTAAGCCGAGCTCCATAAACACTCCAGCGAGATAAGGCTCGCAAATCTAAAGGGATTAACCTCGAGCAGGCTCTGCCCGCTGCCAAAAATTAATTATATTTTAAGCCTTGTATGCAAATTCAAGGGCAGGCGATGCCATTGGGGAGGGAAGGAGGGGCTGGGAGGGGACAAAGGGACAAACCCATCTGTGACGCTGCTGGGCCCTCCCTGGGGACACTGATGGGGTGGAGAGGGGCACCCACGGGTGCTGTGCCCCCCTGCACGGGACTGGTCCTTCCCTGGGAGTCCCCAGCCCCCGTGTGGGGATGGGACACAGGCGGGGACATGGATGGGGCATTGGCACCTCCCGGTGCCAGCACCCACATCCTGGGGTTCCTGGGTGTCCTCCCCCACCTGGGGGGACCCAGGAGTGCTGTCCCACACACGGGACTTGTCCCCTGTGTCCCTTCAGCCCTGCCTGGGTGGGACTGGGCAAAGCCACCACGGGCAGAGGGACAGGGGAGCCTACCCTGACTCCGGTGTCACCCCCAGGGCACAGCGGGTGCCAGGGGTCAGTGCTGAAAGCTGCAGGATTTGGGGAAATCAGCTGAAAAATGGATTTGAAGTGCTGGGGACAGCAGCTTTAGACACACAGGGGACACAAAAGCTGCTGGCAGAGAAGGCTGGGGCTGTGTCACCAGGTGGGGACACCTGTGCCAGTCCCTGTCCCTGTCCCGGGAGGTTGTCCCCTCCCTGTGCCCTCTGCCAATCCCAGTGTCCCCCTGGCACTGCCCAGCTGCCAGGGACCCGGGCTGGGGTGCTGGTGACACCAGGACACTGTCCCCGCCCTGCCAGCTCCCCCTGTCCCCAGCAGCTCATTAATGACCCACTGACTAATTAATGCAGTTGTCATTTCCATGTCCCTCCATCCCCCCCTGTCAGCAGTGGCAGCTCAGGGACTCAGGGGTGCCCCTGTCCCCAAAGGAGGGCACAGGGAGGGGACAGCAGGGTCCCCTCACCAGCGAGGGGACAAACAAGGGCTGGCCCATCTCTGTGGGGCGGGTCACTCGTGTCCCCAGGGTCACTCGTGTCCCCAGGGCCAACCGTGTCCCCAGGGTCACTCGTGTCCCCAGGGCCAACCGTGTCCCCAGGGTCACTCGTGTCCCCAGGGCCAGCCGGGCTGCAGCAATTACAGCTCATTCTGCAGTTTCTAATTAGCTGTGATTGAATGAACGGCAGCGTGGGGAGGTCCAGGAATAATTACAAGAATAATGGAAATAGTAATAGCATTATTATTAGTAGTATCAGGATTATTATTAGTATTATTAGTGTTATTAGTATTGTTGCTGTTGATAACAATAACAACAACAATAATAAGGAAAACCTGTGATATAACAACGGTTTAATAATTGAAATGAAGCAAAATATAGTAACAAGAATAATGGCAGTAGCAATAGTGGTAATAGTTGTAGTAGCAAGTGTATTATTGTTATTAATAAAAATAAAAATAGCAACGACAATAATAGGGAGTACTTGTGGGGTAACAACAGTATAATAATTGAAGTTAAGAAAAATATAATAACGAGAATAATTATAGTAGGAGGAGCTGTATTATTATTATTAATAATAAGAAGAAAAATAGCAACAATGATAGAGAAAACCTGTGGGGTAACAACAGTTTAATAACTGAAATTAAAAATACATAATAGCAGGAATAATGTTAATAGTAGCAGTAGTAATAGTTGTGGGAGGAGCTGCATTATTATCAACAAAAATAAAAATAGCAACAAGGAGAACCTTTGGGTAACAACAGTGTAATAATTGCAATTAAGCACAAGATAACAAGAAGAATAATAGTACTAGCAATAGGAGCAGTAGCAACTGTATTATTATTATTAATAATAGTAACAACAATAAAATTATTAATAATAGCAATTATAACAATGCTGATTATAATAAAAATGAAACCAAAAACCAAAAATAAAAATAAAATAGAAGAAGAGAGAGGAACCATAAAAATAAAAATAAACATAAAAATAAACATAAAAATAAACATAAAAATAAAATAGACAGAAGAAGAGAGAGGAACGAGCCCCAAGAGCACAGTGTCCCCGTGTGAGGGGACACCAGCCCTGCTCCCCAGCCGCTCTCTGACATTCTTGGGGGTGGAAGAGAGCAGTGACCCCATGAGAGGTCCCTGTCCCCTCGCTGGCCGCAGCTCTTTGTCCCCACGCGGGGACACGCCGCGGGGTCTCTCCCAACGCCTGCTGTCCCCTCTGTGTCCCCACCCGCGGGGTCTCTCCCAACGCCTGCTGTCCCCTCTGTGTCCCCACCCGCGGGGTCTCTCCCAACGCCTGCTGTCCCCTCTCTTCCAGCTCGGGATAAGCGGGAGCCGGCGGCGCCAGGACCCCGCGGAGCGCCCACCCCCCGATGCCACCACCCCCGGCGCGACGGGGCCAGCAGGGCGAGCGCCCGTCCCCTCCGCGCCCCGGGACAGCCCCCGAGCAGCCGGGAGCCGCGGGGGCTGTGCCACCCCCGGGACCCCCCTGGCCGCGGCGGGGACACGGCGACAGCGCGGAGGTGGCAGCGCTCGCAGGACACCGCTGGATCTGTCCCTCCCAGCCGGGCTTTTCCTTGGAGCAGCGGAGGGGCTTCGGGACAGGCACGGGGACAGGCACCGCCCTGGGGACAGGAGGGGTTGGGACAATTTCCTGAAACTGCGGATCTGCCTCAGACTGGCTCCAAATGCGAGGATTGTGCTCCCGGCAGCAATTCTCCAGCCCCCCACGCTGGGATGAAGCAGCGGGGAAGGGACTCGCTCTGGGATGCTCCGAGGAGCTGGATCCGTCCATCAGCATCGCCTCGAGCCCCGGATCTGGGGACATGGGGGGACAGCAGGACCCCGAAATCCCCCTGCACCCCTCCCTGCCAGCGAGGCTGCTGCAGCCCAGCCCCCCCCAGCCCTTGGAACGGATCTGATGAATGTTTCGGGTTGCTTTGGGATTTTTTCTTTCCAATCATTTCTTTGGGTTTTAATTTAATTTGAAGTGCCTGAGTAGACTCTGGCGGAGCCGGGCCCCCCCAAGGCTGACACCGTGCCTTCAGCAGGGCTGGGGGCTCCTCCCTGGTCCCTTCATCCCGGGGGGCTCGGTGCCAAGTTCATCCCTCAGCTCCAGCGGCACCCGGCACACGGGGAGGGAATTTTGGGGAGTGTGAGGTGGGTTGGGCAGGGATTGCTTTGCAGAAGGAAGATCAGCTGGGAAGGAAAAGCCTTGGAAGGAACTGGAAGGACAAAAAGAGATTCCCGAAGTGTCCCAGCTCCCCAGAACCTCCTCGCTCTCCTTTCCGTGGGATGTGGCTCCTCCAGGATCCCTGGATCTGCTCACCCTGCACCCCTGGGAGCTGGGGAATTTGGATGGATTTACCTCCCAGCTGTTTCTCCTCCAGTGCCAGGGGAATTTTTTACACCCTGGAATGGTTTCTTGGCCCTTCCCAACATGAAGCCCTGGAAGTGCCAGAGCCTGGAGCTGGGATGGGCTGAGCCCCCGCAGCCCCTGCCACCTCCAGCCAAGCTGTGAACTCTACAGGCAATAATTTTCCACCCTTTGCCCCTCTTTTTTCCATGGAAAATCGTGGTTTTTTTCAGGCAGTGATCCCCCTCATCCCTCAGAACATATCCCCATCCCCAAGCCCTGGGGCCAGCAGCATCTCTGGGGTTTATTTTCCTCTCCAGGACCAAGGATGCTACACTGAGCTGCTCTGGGATGGGATGGGATGGAGAGGCACACGCTCCCCTGCTCCCAGCCCTTCCCAAACCCAGCAGGAAGAGCTCACTGGCATTAAAGCTCCTGGGAAGAGCCTCCCCCCTCCCCTGGGCTCCACAGGAGCTGGGCACGGTGCTCTGGGACCTTGGGTGTTTCTGTTCCGTTGGCTTGGTTTTCTATGAGCCCGTCTTTGTAACGTGAATCGAGGATTTCTTTTCTATTCTGTAATTATAAAAGTCAAAGGAAAGTTTCAGCTGGTGCTGTTCTGCTTCGGGGCACTTCCCTTCCCCGGGCAGTTCAGGTGATTAAAGGGGGTGGTTTTAAAATTTTTTTTTAATTCTTTTTCTCTTTTTGCCTTCCTTAGTACTGCCACCTCTCTCCTCAGGGCTCTGAATGCCCCAGATTTGCCCACCTTATATCATGGAATGGTTTGGATTAGGAAAAATCCAACCCAGTGCCACCCCTGCCATGGCAGGGACCCCTCCCACTGTCCCAGGTGCTCCAGCCTGGCCTTGGGCACTGCCAGGGATCCAGGGGCAGCCACAGCTGCTCTGGCAATTCCAGCCCAGCCCCTCCCCACCCTGCCAGGGAACAATTCCCAATTCCCAAGATCCCATCCATGGCTGCCCTCTGGCAGTGGCAGCCATTGCCTGTGTCCTGTCCCTCCATCCTTGTCCCCAGTCCCTCTGCAGCTCTCCTGGAGCCCCTTCAGGCCCTGCCAGGGCTCTGAGCTCTCCCTGGAGCCTTCTCCTCTCCAGGGGAGCCCCCCCAGCTCTCCCAGCCTGGCTCCAGAGGGGCTCCAGCCCTGCAGCAGCTCCGGGGGTTCCTCTGGGCTCTCTCCAGCAGCTCCAGGTCCTTGATTTTGGGGGCTCCAGGGCTGGGGACAGCTCTGCAGGTGGGTTCATTCCATGGCCACAGCACTCCAGCATCCCACGGGCCCCCAGCCGGGCCGGAGGAGCGAACCCTTCCCCTGCCCCCACCACGGATCTGCCTCTTCCCAGCCCAGCCCGGCCCAGCCCGGCCCATCCAGGCTCTGCAGCCGGGCCGGGCACCCCGGGACATCCTCCAGAGGAGGCAGAGCTGCAGCTTCACCCTCCTGGGAAGGGCGGGAGAGCATCAAACTGGCGGCTGGAATAGACTCCGTAAAGTGGTTTTCCATTAAAACCTTTAATTTTGGGACACAACTCCGAGTTTATAACCACAGGTTTGGTTTTAGAGCCACAATCGTTTTTTGAGAGCAGCAGGGGGAATTCTTGGGACGGGGCCAAAGCTGTCCCAAATGTCACCTGTGCCATGTGATGTCCCCACCCCGCCCCCAGCCGAGCCTGGAGCCGGGTGCAGTGTCCCAAAAAACCATCGGGGCACCCCAGATTTGAAATCCAGTAAGTGTGGGGATTGCATTGACACTCCCAGACACGGGGGAGTCTGGGGGGGTCGCTCTGAACCCCTCTCACCCTGGCCCCAGCCGGACCCTCCGCACAGCCCGGGTCCCATTCCCACAGTCCGTGTCCCATTCCTACAGTCCCTGTCCCCTCTCCAAACCTCTGTCCCGTCTCCGAACCCTTGTCCCCTCACACAGACATGGTCCCCTTCCTCCAGCCCCTGTCCCCTCACAAACCCCTGTTCCCTCCCCAGGCCTGTCCCCTCCCCAAACCTGTGTCCCCTCACACAGTCCCTCTCCCCTCCCCACAGCCCCTGTGCCCTCTCCATACTTCTGTCCCCTCCCCAAACCCCTGTCCCTACACACAGCCCCTTCCCTTCCCTTCCCTTCCCTTCCCTTCCCTTCCCTTCCCTTCCCTGTCCCCTCCCAGCGCTGTCCCCTCCCCTGGGGCTCAGCTGTCACTGCCGAGTCCGAGCGGTGCCCGGGCCCCGGTGCGGAGCCCCCGTGCCCGGGAAGGGCAGGCAGAAACACGAGCTGATTTTCTTCCGTCCCAAGCCCGGCAAAGAAACGGCGGAGGAGCAACAAAGGATGAATTTTCCCCCGCGCAGCCGCCGGGGCCCGGCGAGGCACAGATGTTCAGGAGTAAAAAAGCCGCTTTCAGAGCCTCCAACAAAGGCATAGAGCCGCTTTTCAGGGGCTCGGGGGTGTGGGGAGGCAGCTGGGCGCTCCTAGGTGTGCTGGGATCCGGGGAACGGAGCACTGAGGTGTTCTCACTGAACTGAATCCATGCAGGGGCACGATCGGGGTTTGATCCTTCCTGCTTTGGCTCCTGAGCAAACGGGGATGGAGTGAACACTCCTGAGCAAGGAGGGATGGAGGGAACATCCTTGAGCAAGGAGGGATGGAGTGAACACCCCTGAGCAAATGGGGATGGAGTGAACACCCCTGAGAAAGGAGGGATGGAGTGAACATCCCTGAGCAAGGAGGGATGGAGGGAACATCCCTGAGCAAACGGGGATGGAGTGAACATCCCTGAGCAAATGGGGATGGAGTGAACATCCCTGAGCAAGGAGGGATGGAGGGAACACCCCTGAGAAAGGAGGGATGGAGGGAACATCCCTGAGCAAACGGGGATGGAGGGAACATCCCTGAGCAAGGAGGGATGGAGTGAACATCCCTGAGCAAGGAGGGATGGAGTTAATGTCCCTGAGCAAGGAGGGATGGAGTGAACACCCCTGAGCAAACGGATGGAGGGAACATCCCTGAGCAAAAGGAGGGATGGAGTGAACATCCCTGAGCAAGGAGGGATGGAGGGAACATCCCTGAGTAAACAGGGATGGAGTGAATGTCCCTGAGAAAGGAGGGATGGAGTGAATGTCCCTGAGCAAGCAGGGGTGGTTCTCCAGGGGTCCCAGCCAGGTGGAGATGTGACAATCCCAAGGACACCTTCCTAAAACCACATCACCATGGCCTGACGTGGCTGGGGTGTCCCCAAACTCCCCAGCCCTTCATCCCCAGAGAAATGCCCTTTTCAGGGCTCCCATCATCTCTGGTCCCGGCTGGAAGGTGACATGTGAATGGGCACTGCATGGATGTGACACCTGCCTTGGTGACAAATCTGGAGCTTTCTCTGCTGGCTGTGGTGCAGCCACAGCACAGGCACAATTTTTCACTCCATATATCTCTATTGCTCTTTCTCTATATCTATATAAAATACATTTTATGAAAATAAATATAAATAGAAATATATAGAAAATACATGTCTAGAAATAAAGATGATAAAGATAAAGATGATAAAGATAGATAAAGATAAATATGTGGCCCCAGTCCCCAGGATGAGCAGTCAGGATGCCCTTGCAGGAGCACAGCAAGGTCCTGCTCGGGTCCTGCCCTAGATCCAGCTCCAAACCAGCCGGGTTTAGCCCCAGAGCCTCGGGGAGGGGCTGAGCACGGGGTGGAGGCAGCTGGAGCACGGGGTGGGCAGTGAGGGTGGAGTTTGGTAGGGACTTGGTCCCACTGCCACCATGGGCAGGGCAGGGGACACTGCTGGGAGCAGGGGCAGGTGGCGCTGGCACGGATGGCAGGAGAAGCTCCACGGTTCTCCTGCACCATTCCCCAGGCTGTCCCTTCCTCTGGGAGCTTTGGTCGCAGCTCTGACCCCTCCAGGATTCCCAAACCCACCCTGCAGACCCCACTCACCCCTGATGCCCTGCCCTGCTCCTGCCACAGGGGAAGGGAAGGGAAGGGAAGGGAAGGGAAGGGAAGGGAAGGGAAGGCCTCAGGAGTGGCAGAAGGATTCATGTCCCTTTGCCAGCATGAGTGCAAGACCTGAGTGTGGGCTGGAATAAATCCCTGTGGTTACAGCCCGGGCAAGAA